ACCAATTACAAAAGGGGCAATCCGTTTTCATCCACCGGATTCATTCCACTGTCCAAGAGAATTTGAGTAAGTCAAAAAACAGTGACTTGAAGAGCATTTGTTGACTATTTGCTTCCTAGTAGCTTAAAGTCTTCAGCTCGTATTTGAGCTCAGTATCCGAAAGTTCCATTGTCAAAACATAGGAGAAAGACTTGTTTTTCTGGTTGTATTCTGGACGTAAGAAAGTGCACCCATTCTGACGGACAATAATTTTGGGCTCATAAATAACAGTCGGATTTGGCCGTTTACATTTTTTAAAGCTGTATAGCAAAAATAATTAAGAAATTATTTGCTGTAAAAGCGTGATTATATTATACTGTAAGCTGTGATGTGATGAATGCGGTCGTAACCGAGTAGTGTCGGGTTATGAATTGACCAAAATCGTAAAATTTGCTTGACGGGATATCGCACGTGATTTGCATTATTGTCTGCTTAGCGAACTGTCTGGCAAATGAAACAAAAGGTTGTACTATGCATGTCACCGAAAACCTTCGATATTCGGGCCCTCACTAGTCTACCTAAGTGTCCAAAATTTCTGGAAGCCTGAAGAAGCCATTGTTGTACTCGTCTCTCAATGTACTGGTTTTTGAGCAGTGACGATAGCAACATGATTTTTGGCCACTTGAAAAATACCCAAGTGCTCTGCACTAACATATAACTAAATGGATTCTGAGGAGCCATATAATTTATAGACTTCGCATTTCTCATCAGCATAAAAAGCACATTGCACAGGGAGGCAGATCAATGTAAACAATGAAATTTCAGTCGTCTTGTACAAGTAAATCCAATGGGAATTGGCGTTGTCTAGACATGTGATGAGTGATAAGATACGAATCGATCACTTCGATCCTGACTGCACATGCGACCTGTGAACAACAGTGAATTCTGCAAACACCGCAACTTCTTTTTTATCCGATTGTCCAGACTGAAAAGACAACCTGAAATAGATTCATCCCCTATATGATTTGTACTATTTGACTGTAAAGTGTATGCATCTTTATCTACCTAGGAGAAGAGAAGCAGCTGGTAACTATCTCTCCTCCGCAAAGGAACGTCAGCAATTTGAAGGCTGGGGTTCAAATGACGCTACTGAATTTACTGTCAAATTGCTCCTGATACATACCGTCTATGTAGCGGTATTTTTCTCTATACGGCCCTAACGGTGTGTTTAATCCTTGTTGAGACGCCCTTTTCCGTTATTTTTCCCACCGGAGTTGCGGTCATCCGAGAGAATTCGCTCCTGCTGTTTAGTGGTCATATTGTCCGATTTCATACGAGTGTAGACCCCTAAGAGCTATCCATTGTTCTCTCACAAACATGAAAATCCCACAACCCTCAATGCATAACGTGTGCACCAACAAGCCATTGAAAGTTCAGCCAACATGATATTTTGCACAAAATGGTAATAGCCCATTCTTCGCTGGCAACTTGTTCCATAAATATGTCTGTGGGTGCAGCCCAATCTTTCATAGGACGATGTCCTCCCCTGAAAACCCAAATTACAAATGGGAGACGGGGAATCATCCACTCCCATACGAGCCTTCTGAGAACACAGGCGCACAGTAAACAGTTCTCTAGGATGTTAGTAGCTCTGATGGATCTGTTAGTTTTTGGCTTGTTCGCCGACCTTAGTAACTGGATGGTGATGACTCGTCATCGGTGTATTTACATGAGCTGCCGACGGATAAAGTGCGGCGATCCCAGTTAACTGTATCTTAATCTAACTGCTGTGCAGCCAACCGGTACTGAATACTCGTGCCCACACTACTTTCCCGAATGCCATTTATTCAGATATCCGTAGGTCTTTGCAATCGGAATAATACCGATACTCACCAACAGGGCTGTATCAGCTTGTCAGACTTTTGTACATGAGTTGTCTTTGTCTTGCAGAAACAACTTTACTCAAAAATTAGTGAGAGCGGACAAAAATTTCCCCATCATTCGTCGGCTTGATCGCAAATCTTGCGAGTCACTGAGGTGAAAGCACCTCAGTGACTCGCAAGATCTGCGATCTTACTACATCCAGACGATGAGAAACAGCTGTAATCTTCAGTTCAGCTGCTTCCCACCGAAAGGCTTTGAATAAAAAATTCAACTATGTGAAACCAATTTTTGGGTCTTGCTCTAGGTGAGCATCCAGCTTAACATTCTTGTTTTCAGGTCTATTTTGTAGCGGCAGAACTAATAAACATTTAAAAGCCGAGTAAAGCTAAGCCATTGATGTGCCTGCCTTCTACTTCCACTGTGCATGGCCAGTAGTACCACTACTGATACTACTAATACACCTGCCTTCCAGGGTAACATCAATAACACCGTACAGGACGAGTCGTGACGGGTTTGTGTACATATAGTGTGTCAACGCTTCCTACGGCTGGTGTGTAAACGCTTTTTACGCCTGGTGTGTGAAGCTTCGCCTCAGTGAAAACAGGCGAGGCCTGCAGTCTATCCAATCACAACACAGATGACTCGAACCTCATGTTCGGCTTAAAGGTATCCCGTTTCCGTAGACGTGCATGTGTGCCTATCGACCGGGGTAACTTGTCTGGTTAACCTGAGGGGAAAAGGAAACTGAATTTCGACCGAAGTATCTACCGTATTCGCAGTAACCGTGTCGGTTTCTCCAGGCCAGGCTGGACCTGTTTTTGTCAGTGTGTCTGCCAGGTCGCGCTTCCCTGGACGAGAATGTGCACTGTGTGCGGCACAAACAACTTAAATCTGCTAATCAACACTCCATGCTGCCCTGGAGATTGACTGTAATCTGAACTGGTTACTGTTTTGCTACTAAGATTCATGGAAAAAGCAAATACATTGATTTGCAAGTTACTTTCACCAGAATTTCACCTGAATCTTTCGTGTATGCTATATTTGTAGAGCATAATCAGTTGCGGTGCAGCACATGACTCCTGTGATTTACTTGTTAACACCAGTTTAATACGCAAATCAGTGGTATGTTTAGTCATCTGCGTACAATTTGGTGTTCAAGTAAAATATAAGGTTGATGGAAGCTCAAGAACCACGCATATCTGGTAGAGCCCAGAAAGACTGAAGCCGGTAGTGACCTGGCGAAGGGTTTTCAACAATCCTAGAAATATTGTGTTGTTTTGTGCTCTCAGTGACCATACTTTATTTTGTGGACGAAGCAAAACTGATTAACGATACGGATAGCGAATTCACCCTGTTTTTATGTGGAACCTCTGTAAATGCATAACAAGAATTAAATGTTTTCTTATTTTGCTGGAAGCATTTGGAAATAGCTTTCCTTGGGCCTTAATTGGTATGGGGTTCTCGTGGAGAACGATGTAGTGACCGTAAACTCACACCTAGTCTTATTCAAGGCTAGTGTGTTCGGATGGACCGAGCCTCAGCTCCTCTTTCGTCAGTGCAAGCAAGATCCAGTCATCAGCGGTATTATTTAAAGGCATTTGCAACACCGACGAACGGATAACAAGATAGACTCACAAAATCAGCTTCTTGTGTTTTACATTTTGCGACCGATAAAGACTAAGGTGCAGACTCATGTTTAACAAGCTCTCCCCGTAAGTTTATAGTTACCCTCGGTAATGCCTCTCCAGCACCGGTCACACACCCTCAGCCTTGGTATGAGCTTGTTATTGACTTGTACGACTATTGTCTTAGACGATGTGGGCAAGTGGAACCTGGACAAAATAAAGTCATCCTGGACGTGTGTAGTTGACACTTGCGCTAGCGAGTAAAATGGTCCAGGTTGAAAAAAGAAGACAACTTGGTTCATCGTTTTCAGCATGAAAGCACGTGCAAAGGGTCCAACTGACGATCAGTCGGGGAAACAAACCCTGATGTGTTACTCGACAACACCAATCTGAGACCCAAGGGGGTGGACATGATTAGTGTCCATCAAACAGTCTGTCTTCACAATTTGTAATCAAAATACATCTTCGCAGCAGTGGTCAGGAGCCTGATCTCACCCGTTCACAATTTCACAAGTCTGGATGATTAACGGGGAAATAGAGTAAGACAAAATTTCCACCTACTGACGGTGTGGCATATCTCTATGAGAGGTTGTCAGGGCCCTGTTTAAAATCCCGTATCAAGGGCAATAGGGTATTCCTATATTGTGTGAGAATTGAGAAACTTTTGGGAAATTCAAAAATGTTTGTTCGTGCTGAACCCCTCCTATAGAGGGGCTTTACTGTGTATACTCTTCTAGATAGGCATGAAAACACGGTCAACCAAACCAGCAACTAACTGTCCCAATACTTGGTTGCATCGATCTTCCAGAGTGATCAGCAACTTTAATGAACCCTACTTTTAATCTGAGCAGTAACAGCTGGAGCCGAACCGTCTGAGCTCTCGAGTTAGGGATCACCAATCGAACGGGCGAATAAGTGACAGCAATCCAGGCCCACTAATGACTCAAATGATCTTCAGGCGACAGTAAAGTTAGGTAGATACGTGATTTCTTCGACAGTTGATCTAAACAGGATTTGGGATTGACGACATGGGGCAGATTGCATAGGTGTAGCGTGACATCTTCAAACGTTTGCAAACGCGCAGCTGATCATGAACGATCCTACAGACTTGATCACGTTCTCTATGGTAGTGTGATAGTTGATCGCCGTCTCCACGGGAACCGTGTTTAAGCCGTATATCGCTCACCATGGTTCATAGTTGAGGAACATGAAACTCCATATTATTAGAACCGTGAGCCACCATTGAAGACACTCGTAGATCTTGTCATTACATTTAATCATCTGACAAGTATACCTGATTCTGCTTTGTCAGTTTATTTACCTAGAAGAGTCGAGTTGGAAATCTTAACTTACATCTAGTCCTTATGGGGAGAAAAACACGGTTAGACTGTATCGTTCAAAGATAATTCAAAAACTCATAACAAACGACTCCAGAGCAGTAGTTTAAAACCAGTTTTTTCTACTGAAGCTATGGACCGCAAATATGGAGGTCAGGTTACCTCGCAAACTCACCGGAATTGCTGCCCAAAAGGCACATTCCTCAAGTGGCAACAGAGGAATCTTCCAATGCAAGTAAAATCCCAGCGCAGTTGTCGACATTCCCAAAACGATCTGCATAATTACAAGCAGTACGTGCAGCTGACAAAAGCAAAGACCACGTGCGGCTTCTTGTGAATCCGGAAGACAAACTGGCGAGCCAACTCTTGGAAGACTGCCATGCTCTATATCAACGCACGGAGGCTTAAACGAAGTGTTTGGAGCCAGGGTAGGGTCACGCTTGTTTGGACTAGTGTCACAGGTACAGAAAAAAAGTGGCTGATGACAATCTGAACAGATATTTCGTTCAGCTGGGCTTATTAAAAACGATCCTGTTGGGCTTCGCAGTAGATACGAACTCACTGAGTTTGCACGCCGGCTAAAATCAAGTGGCTTGAGCAGACTGGGTTTAGGGTCTATTCCATCAGTGTGACGACGATGGGCTAGCGAAGGTGCCATGTTGTAAGCAACTGAGGCCTCCGTGAGGGCGTTCATGCTGTTCAAACAAAAACCCTCCATTCCACCAGGTCCACGACGTTGTTGCCACTCCTCGGTATGTAGCGAGCAGTGGCGTTTTCGAGATCTATGGGGGCGCGGCATAGAAGATTTGCGATTAAGTGGGTACAGTGGAGACGCGCACTCATAAAGTCTCAAACGGCGCGATACATGAGGACCCTCTACCAAAGATGTGGAGCGGTGTAATCTGTGGTTTCTCACAGGACTAGGTGTGTAGTCTCCCCGGAATGACCTATGGTGGGCAAGCCTTATAGGTTTTCCAGCGTAATTTGTCAAACAGTGAGTTGAGATTTGCGAAGACGATGCGCCAGAACTGGAAAAGTGTGGTGAGTGAGACCGACAGTACAAGTGTTGCCGTACGGCATCTGGAGAAACTACATTCCCGATGCTGCAGTGTGTATGATTGGGGCAACGGTCTCGCAGAGTTCGTGGACTGTGTCTAGAGCCCCCCAACAATGAACCATTTTGTACACTCCGAAAAAACTGTTTAGGAAATGGTTTGAAATTCTCACTGTCTTCGGCTCCCGAGTTAGTAGGTGTAACACGATCGCTGAAACTTTTCGTGGACCGTAAAGACTGTGAATGCTGTAGGATACATGGACCCTTTGGCACACCGAGAAACAAATTTTCTGTTGTTTCAATATGTGTACACGGCATCCAATATGGCGGGCTGAGATTTGGTGTTGCAACGGAATTCTGAGAAGTGCGAAACGAGCCGCGACGTGATAAAGACTCTTTGGAAACATTTTCAGTGTTCAGCAGGTCTTGGTGAATGTCAGAACGCAGGGTGAGTTGTGTTTTCTGTGATCCAAATTTAGGATGATGGTAAAAAGTTCCGGACGTGTCTGTAGACCAATGACCTGCTTGTCGTCTTATGCGACGGATTGGATTGCTCTGCAGTTCTTCCTGACTTCCATAAGTGGACTGTCCTGCTGAATTGTGTGGGATTTCAATAACAATAGCCGGAGGGAAAGGGAAGCGTTTTTGCACACTTAGAGTCATTTCTGATTCCACAAGTCTAGCAGCGGACAGTACAGCGACCGATTCTTATACCATCCCAACCTACTTCCGATGGTGATTGGTAGAAAAGTAACACATCGATTTGTTCGAACTTTTAGCCAATACCGTTGGAGGCCTAAGCCACAAGCAGTTACCGCCTGTGCACTCTTCTGTTGCCATTTTTCATTATAGAACACAGTATTGTGTCTCTTTCGATGCTGGATGAAGGTCATAAGATCACTGCGGACAAACCGCATGATAAATAACATGACACTGGTAATATAATGACCTTTTGTGTGCCCGTCCCGAAAACTATTAAGGGGCCATATGGAAGGACGCTTCCTGAGAAATAACAGTTTTCGTATTCTCCTCAATCAAATTTGAAATGTCCGGGAATGTTGCCTAGTTGTTTAAATGCTTCTTGCATAGATGCGTTCAATTATTCACCTACTTACTCCCGTGCTATTTCACCTATCTACTTACGTGCTTACCTGTCTACCAACTGAATTACTTAGATACCCACTTTAATGCTTGAGAGCCCACCAATGTCCGTATGTATGTGTTGGCACTCACTTACATCCATCAATATTTGAGTATATATATATATATATATATATATATAATATACGATACATATCT